GTAAGATACCAGCGAACTGAACACAGCAACATATTAGAAAGATTATACACTATGATCAAGTGGGCTTCATCCCAGAGGCACAGGGATGGTTCAACATACACAAATCTATTATGATATACCAGATAAATAAATTAAAAAATAAGAATCATATGATCATATCAATAGATGCACAAAAAGACTTCAACAAGATACAGCACCCATTTATGATCAAGACACTTAACAAAATCGGTATAGAAGAAAAATACCTTAATATAATAAAGGCCATATATGACAAGCCCTCAGCCAACATTATACTTAATGGTGAAAAACTAAAAACCTTCCAAGATCAGGAACAAGGCAAGGCTGTCCACTGTCGCCACTGTTATTCAATATAACATTGGAGGTCCTAACAAGTGCAGTCAGGTAAGAGAAAGATATAAAAGGCATCCAAATAGGAAACAAAGAAGTCAAACTGTTACTATCTGTGGATGACATGATTCTCTATATAGAAAACCCTAACGACTCCACAAGAACAATAAGCAAATACAGTAAAATTTCTGGATACAAAATCAATGTTCAAAATCCAATGTTCAAAATCAATGTGCAAAATCATAACGAAGTGTCAAAAAAAGAAGTGGAAAAAATAATTCCTTTTGCAATTGCAACAAAAAGAATAAAATATCTAGGACTAAATCTAATGAAACATGTGAAGGACCTATATAATGAAAACTACAAGACCCTATTAAAAGAAATCGAAGAAGATACAAAGAAATGGAAAGATATTCCATGTTCTTGGATTGGAAGAATCAACATAGTTAAAATGACCTTATTACCTAAAGCATTATACAGATTTAATGCAAGCCCCATCAAAATTCGATTGGTATTTTTTAAAGAAATGTAACATTCCTAGGTGGCTGTGGAATGTTCGTTCCTTGTATGCCTGTACCACCCTAGAACACTTCCCATCTTCTGATATATGGGCAACACTAGGAGCACTTTAGAGTTGTCATTTCACATCCATGATCATTATCATCATTATCCATAATTACCAAAATCTAGCAAGCTTGGCTAAGCAGCAATAGAAACACAATATTAGAGTCTCTCATCCCCTGGCTCTTCATTGCTGCTTACAAACCCCAGTTGCCCATTTACATAACCTATTTGCCAAGACAAGCAGGTAGAGTGCCCTCGACTAAGTGCCCCCGAGTTCACTTGCTATTTGTCTATGTAGTTAGCACTCTTGGTCTTAAGTGATGAAATCACTAGAGTTATTTTTAGGCCCAGTCCTGACTTATAGATCAATTGCTATGCCCTGTAGTAGTGTACCCAGGTGGCTACGGTCCTTACCTGGGAAGTTCAGGTCAAATTAGCTTGAAGATTCCATTGATGTTTATCCACCAAGAGTCCTTTTCCATAGGCATCCACATGGGTCATAAACAGAGAGCACTGGTCTTGTGTAATCTTCTGCCAGGCTCCAGATGATACCGCTAGCCCATGGCCCAATGCCACAAGTCAATGAAAATGGAACAAGGTACATTTAGGGTGGCATTTTTAGAGCAAGCACCACAAATCATAACTATGCCCAACGAGCAGTTATCCATTTACATTTTTATTTATTTTTAATTTTTTAAATTTCTTTTTAGGCCAGGCAACCCTTGGTTGACCTCACAGATCGTAAGGACCTTGTCAGCTTACAATCCCTTATTTTTTACGCTTACAGCACCTGGTCTTCCTAGGTGGTCTTCCATCTAAATACTAGCCAGGCCTGACCCTGCTTAACTTCTGAGATCAGATAGGATCGGGCATGTTCAAGGTAGCATGGCCGTACACGCATTTATATTTTTAAACAATTTTTTTCTGTTTATATTTTTAAACAATTTTTTTTAGAGTTGCACAGCTGCAGCATCCCAGTAGCTTCCCAAGACCACCCCCAAGATCCTGTGATTTACTAGGACTAACAACATTTGGCATATAGTTGCACTCATAGCTAAAATTACATCAAAAGGATACAAAACAAAGTGAGCAAAGGGAAAAGGCACATAGAGCAAAGTCTAGAGAAACCATGTAAAATGTCTACCAGGGAAGCTCATTAGAGACTCAGTGCCCAAGGTTTTTACAGGGGACTGGTCATGTAGATAGCCTCTGCCTAACACATACCAAAATTTCAGACTTCCAGGAGGAAAGCAGGTATTTGGAATAAACAACATCAGTTGTGCAGTTTAGGTATAATGAGCTACTCTTATCAGTTCTGTGAATTGTAGGAATGCTCCCCAAATTACAGTTCCCAGAATCCAGCCAAAGGCCAGTCTTGTAAGCAGAACTTTCTAAGGATAAGCAGGCTCTTGGACCTTGGCCAAGGCATCTTTACAGCAAAAATATTATCAGTAGGACCTCATGCAGCAGGCTGACAACATTCTGCAGTATTGATCTCAGCTATGCCCTTTAGGGGTCCTTTACTTGGTCAGTTAAAACAAATTCTATTAACTATACAGATTTAAGAAAGCTGGGTAGCTTTATTCTTAAGTTTCTGTATTAATATTTTGTTTGTTTTTTTGTTTTGTTTACCTGATCCAAGACAACAGTTAAGTTGAAGCTAACCAGAAAGTCTTCTAGGACTGAGGCACATAGTCAGGGCATACAGATGAGAAATGCAATCTCAAAGGTTACACATGGTACCCATAGAAACAAAGGGCTTACAATTGTTGGGGCACACCAAGCAGGACATACATTGGGCAGGCAGTACAGGTTGACAGGGCCCCCAGTGTGGCCTTCTGCTCTGGGGCCTCCCACCCTAGGTTCTCAGTCCAAATCATGCAGTTCAGGTCTTGGCTTCAGAGAGACCACCTGAGGCAGTTTCAAAGAGTTTTGTCTATAACATCAGTTCAACAGTTTCACAAGTATGGAGGACATCTGTAGGTGTTCTGCAGCAAAGTGCTAGTGTTGGGGTCACCCCCTGCCATCTCAGGGTCAATGCTGGTTAGGTTTGAGTCTAGCTCAGCAACCAGTTTGAATTCAAAGAGCTCACAGCTTGAACGGGCACACAGTGAGCTTTCCTTTAGGCAGAGGGCAAGGCTTCTAAGAATAGTTCTGAAATCAAAGATTATTAATGCCCTTTCCCCTCCCCTATTCTCAGGTGGTAGGGTTTTGTTTTTTTCCATCATTACAAAATCAGTTGTGTCCCACTCAGCAATCATAAGTTAACATTTTTTCAATCATCCCCTACTATCATCTAGACCTTTTGTCTAAAAGGGTTGTATGCAAGAGGCATAAAAGCATTTTCACTGAAAAAATTTTTTGTATAATTTAATTAGAAAGATAAATCATATTCAGAATTGGTCAGAATGAAATCTGAAATTTTAAAATAAATTTTAATGGATTTACATAACCTCCTATCCCTTTTGTCCTGATCATTTATCCAGAGAGCAGCCTAGAAAAGATCAATCCCTGTCTGAGGACTGCTGTGTTTAATAATCAGACTGCCTTACTAAGGTGTGTATACCAGGAAAAAGATGGAGGAAGAGTCAGGCCATCAGATCACTGTTGCAAACTGTAACTAAACTGGAAAACTAGACACAAGTCAACAGTAGGGAGTCAGCCCTGAGATAGGGCCCAGAGTCTGAACTGTCAGCACCCCTTTGGAGGGGTCACACTCCCTATGATGTCCCTTTCCCCAACTTGCAAATTTTGCAGGAATCATAAGTTAGGACTACTGTCAGTCTCTGTATCAGAAATATACTGACAATCAGAAGCTCAATTTCAGACGGTCCCATCAGAAATTAGTCCTTTTCTGTTCTGTGGGCATTTGTTGGTGACTCAGATGGTCTAGCCAGCACCCATGATGTTTTCACAACTTGGCCCACAGAAAGATGTCCTAATTCTGCAATTGTCCTAGAGTCTGAGTTTTGTTTTTTGAGATTTTAGTTTAGCACAGCTAATGTTGAGGGTGAAATAGCCCATAACAGAAAGTATCAGCTTAACGTCAGGTCTAGCAATTAAAGATCAGGATTCCAAAAAAGCCAGCGGCTTTTCTTCAGCAGCAGCAAAGCCTAGATACTGCAAGGCCAGACAGCCATGTTCCAAGTCCAACTGACAAGCAAGGCTTTTTAAAATCCTTTTTATCTTGTCAGTCTTAAACTTCAAATAGATCCACTCAAATATATGCACATCAGGCTGGCAAATCATTAGCCTTTATGGGTCAGACATCTGATTTTACAAAAGTTCATTAGCACCTAAAGTGTGTTTTGTAAAACTCTAAAAGTGTATTTCCATCTGGAGAATACCTCTTTTTTCATGCTGTTTCCTTTTTCCAGAGGTTCCAAAAGGCAAAAAGGATAACAAATGTCATAAGTTACAGAGATTTATTTTGTTTTTACACTCAAAAAATTTAAGTTTCAACCCACTTACCAGTGGCAAAAACTAATTATTTGTATGTCTCACTAAAACTTTTTCTTTGCGGCTTTCCATGATTGGGATGATCCCGTCAGCATTTATGAAGTTATAAGCATATAACATTTTACATTAATTTTTATCCTACATCCAAAAGGAATAGTCAAAAAACTCAAAGCCATTGCCCTTTCTCTGCCTTTTAAATGGAAATCCACTCGACCCTTTACCAATAAATTTAACACTTACAAGGTTAACGGTATAGCTACCAAGGAGGATGCTCAGCTGGAATGTAGGTGGGGGTGGGGTGGGGTGGAGGTAGGGCTACTGTAGCAGTGATAGCAACTAGGCTGAAGAATGGTTGGAGTGGTTTTCTCCCCCTCCTTTTTCTCTCTGGTTTGCTTTGCTCCAGTCCTGGGAAGTGATCTAACATTCTTTCCCTCCACTTGGAGGAAAGAGCAATACAAACTTCTAATATTTTTGGCCCCCTCCAAGCTTACCTCTGGGGATTTTGGGGCCTTTCTATTTTCACTGGAGGAGAGAACAATACAAAAAGGCATCACAAGGCTGCACTTTCCCCCCTCACCTTAGCTGGTACAGCCAAAAACAGCCAGAAGATGCAGGAAGCCAACTCTCTGGGAGTTGGAGCTATCATTTTCAAATTCCATAGGTAACTTCTACCTCTCATAAAAGACTGCTTGTTTCATACCGGAGATGACTCCATAGCCAGCCAAGCACTAAAATTTTGTCATCCCTTACTCTTTCATCCTTACTTTTCCCAAGCAATGCTTTTGCCATATTTCAGTGAGTCACAGTTAGGCTAGCAAATCCCACTCTGACACTAACTGAGTGTTCAGTTGGCAGATAACACTTCTGAGACCAACTTAAGACCACCACCTGCCCCTAAGTTTGATGGTTCACTAGGGTGACAACATTCAGCATATAGTTGTACTCACAACCAAGATTTATTACACTGAAAAAATATAAAACAGACAAAAAAGTCACATGGGGCGAAGTCTGGAAGAAATCAGACAAAAGCTTCCAAAACTCCTCTCCCAATAGAGTCATACAGGACACAAGTTGTGACAACACATGGGAAAAGTTGTCTACCAAGGAAGCTCATTAGAGACTCAGTGCCCAAGGTTTTTACAGGGGACTGGCCATGTAGGTACCCTCTGCCTAACACATACCAAAATTCCAGACTCCCAAAAGAAAAGCAGGTATTCAGCATAAACTACACTGGCTGTGCAAACAGTTTAGGTACAATAAGCCACTCTTGTCAATTCTGTGAATGGTGGGAACTGTTCCCAAATCGCAGTTTCCAGACACCAGCCAAAGGCCAGCCTCGTAAAGAGAACTTTCTAAGGATAAGCAAGCTCAGACCTGCTGTGTTAATTCTTTCCTATACAACCCTACTGGCCTTTAATTTAGCTGGTACATCCATGAACCAGGTTCAGGAATCCTCAGTAACCTCAGTGTACCCAGGCCCCCAAGAAGCCTACAGTAATGGCATAGACTCTTCATCTGAAATAGCCACAGCTTAGTGGTGACTATATAGCTATGAGATTCCATTAAAGCCCAGTTTGGTAGATTGAAATAAATAGTCCTCAGCTATTTCTAGGTTCTAATCCCTGTAACATGTGAATGTTACTTTATGTGGTAAGAGGGACTTTGAAGATGTGATTAAGTTAAGGATCTTGAAGTGGAGAGATTACCCTGGATTATTCATGTGGGCTCTTAACACAATCACAAGTGTCATTATAAGAAAGAGACCAGAGGGAGATTTGGCTATAGAAGGAGATGTAATGATGGAAGCAAGAGATCGGAATGATGTGGGGAAGTAGTCACAAACCAAGGAACAAGGAGCCCCTCCAGAAACTGGAAAGGTAAGGAAACTGATTCTCCCTTAGAGCCTCTGGAAGTAGTGAAGCCCTACCAAAACCTTGATTTCAGTCTATTGAACCCATTTTGGACTTCTGGATTTCAGAACTATAAGACAATAAATTTTTGTTGTTTCAAGCCACTAAGTTTGTGCTGATTTTTTTACAGCAACATTAAGAAAGTAATACATCTAGGTTACTTCTTTCCTGAATATACCATTTCCATTTGATAATGCATGCTTGCTGGGAAATATCCACTTGGCTAGTGTTTTCATTTTTGACTCATTCCAGAATGGGCATGTCAGAGTATAACATCATGTGCTGTTACTTAATTAGCTTATCAGTGTCCAGCATTCAATAACAAGCCAATAATTACCCCCCATATGGAGTATACCAGACAGTAATGTCAGGCAAACACTGTGTCCAAAATCCTAGTTGGCACCACTGCCTAGTGCCACAGGCTCCAGTCTACATAAATGTCAATCACTGACACTTATAGCTTAAAAGTCTCATTAGAACTAACTGGTCCAAATAGGAGGGCAGTTTGGATAGTTTCCTTACGTATCTTCTTTCTACTAGCTCTTTAATCAGTATAGTGATCTCCTCATCCTTTCTCCTCCCTTCACTTGGCTTCCTCTACTATTCTACTGGTATCACATAACTGAGATGAAAGATCCAAGTGGGCTCCTAGTTATGTATTCATCCCACTGGGAACATTCCAACATTCCTTACAATCAAGAGAAGTATATTACACATACACATGAGTTCTCACAGTATATTCAGAGGTATCAGTTACAACTGCTTGGGTATGTGAACTGCTCACCAAATAACATATAATACAGATAAGTTTCAAGGGCCACAATGGTATGACCTCTTTTACTATAGATAAGCAGGTCAACTTTTTGCAGGAGTTACAAGTCTGTCAGGACATGGTAGCTTTGTAAGGAACATAGTCCTTTAGTTGGTAAGAGGCATCATTTTTTCTTTGACAGCTGGAAGGCTTCAGTGTGGTAAATTCATCCATAAAGTCTTCAACTTTACTTGGCAGGAAGACTCTGAATTTTGTCAGAGTTTATTAGTCATACCTGCTAGAAAGCATCTGATAACATCACAACTTTTGTCAACCAACAGACATTATTTACTCAGTGAAAATGGACATCAAAAAATTTTGCTCTAACACTTTATAAGCATTCATATTACAAGAAAGTAATATACCATTTAAATTATACATTTTTCACAATGGTACATTTAACTGGTTCAAAGCTCTCACTCACTAGCTATTCTCTCTTTACTGTAAATTTGGCTCAAACTCTATAAGCTGAATTCAGACACCTTTTAAAGAAACACAGACCAAGGAGTTTAACACAGGCACTTCAAGAGTTACAATAGCTGCCCAGAGACCATGTCATCTCCTCAGGGTGTTCAGGGCAGGACAGAGGAAGTCAGCTGTAGCAGAAGAAAAGCTTCTTTTCTGAAAGCAGTAGAGGTCAGGGTAAGAGGGAGGGAGAGATCAGGGGGTATGGCAGGAGCAGCTCCACAACAGTAAGCAGAGGTTTGCACTTACTTTCAGATTTAAGTGGCTGTCTGTTCAGTTTCCACAAACGAACAACTAAGGGCACAATTCAGGAAGCTGGCTTCAATCCTACCTCTATAAGCCTCCAAATATTCACTAACAAGAAGCATACACAATCAGATCCCAGGGAGTCTTCTCATATCACTTAACTCAACCCACACAATTAACAGGTATGACAGTAGGAGAAGCCTTACTCCTTCCTCTTGTCCACCGCTTAGGTAAAAGCAGGCACTACCAGATACCAAGGATTCTTATCATAGCCTTTAACCTGGTCCATGTGGCTGTCCTTCTTCCAAAAAGACTTCCTAACCTTACCAGCTCCAGGTTGGATGCCAAATTTGTCAAGAAAGGCTGACAGAGTAACAAGGTATTAGGACATCAGGGAAATGGCATGGAACAGTGCCCCCACTGAACAGCAAAAATGAATTTTAATTTTTAATTTGATTTAAACATTGCTTTTAGTCTGATGACACCACCAATAGTGCAGAAAGTGCTCTGGAGGTATGTTTGAAGCAGTACTCACCTGCGCTCTTCTTCAGTTCTAGAGGCTCCAGGACAGCCAATAGTGCTTTGTCAACTACGTACTTTCTTTACATTTTTCCATGTGAATGCAGAAAGCTCCACATATTGGACAACCTTCCGGTCACAGACCAGCATTTCAGCAGTCTGTGGGGTGAGAGGTTTCACTGTGTCCTTGACAAGTTTCTGAGATCAATTTTGGTTTCAACAAACAAGTAGTCATCAGACAATGGTGAATTATCTCAGGTACCCACTTTTCTTTCACATTTTCAAATGAGGGCAGAAGACCACTAAAAAATAGACTATATCTGTATATAACTGAGGGCTTGTTTTATCAAATTTTTCTTGTTCTGCAGGATCAAAAAGTCCAAGAGTATATGGTTCTCACCAATAACTGGCTGCACAGTTGTCAGAAACCACTAAACATATTTCAGACATTAATTTGTTTGTTGTTTGTTGTATAGGATATCAAGACATATCTTACCAACAGCACCATCACTCACAATTATCTGCATTGCTGAAATATTTTTTAATCCACTTGAAATATTCCAAATTTAATTATGATTTCACCTTCACCACCTGACTTTAAGACCTGCACTGTGTCTTATCAGCCTGAAGAGTGCCTAGTAGAAAAGGAAGTGGAAGAAGGGTTTAGGCCTGGGAAGCTCTCATAGCAGAGAGAGTGGACCAAACTGAACCAATGATGGTGGTGGGTAGCACGTGCCAGGAATCACTGCAGAAAAAGTCTTATATAGCAGGAAGGGTAAAGGTGAGCTGGCAGCTCACTCCACCCCACGGACAGTTGCAACAGGAATGGAGGACACGGGTGGAAACTGCTCTAGTGGGCCCCGCCTTCCCTAGCTGCTGATGCCTCCAATATCCACTGTGGAAGAAGCGTGCTCAGACTGTCCCAAGGTTCTTCCTTAGGCCTCCACCCCACCCACCCGAATAGCGATTTTCTGGGGGGACATGTCAGGATCCCAGCTAAAAGATTAGTGGACTATTGTACAGGCAATGACAGACGGCTGTCAGTTACAAAAAAACATTCCCCCTGGGAGTCAGCGGTCTCCGTGCGTCACATGAGTTTACAGAGGGCCACAAAAGGTACAGAAGAGTGTATCACTTGACTGTCAACCGCTGCGACCCTGGACACTCGGAGCCACCTGTACCTCTATGGCGTAGAGGGTTCCAGTAATATTCCTCCCTCCAACTCCATCCTTTACACTTCACCTAAGCAAGCTCCACCTTCTCATAATTTTCCGCCCCGAGTCCTGGGAAGTCCAAGTTCTCGCACGGTGAGGAAAAGCCACGAGGAGAAGGGAGGAATGGAACTAAAGAGGGCTGTGGGACGAGCCTCCGGTTGGGCTGGACCTGACAAATCCACGTGGCTACCCAGGCCTATGGGAGTCCGGCAGCGTGGTGACATCAGAGACAGCGCCATCAGAGCTCACGCTGTGGGCGTAGTGCTGATGCGCAGTGGCGCAGGGTCCGACGCTGAGTATCTTTTCGTCCTATGGCGTCCTACAGGCTATCGTCTTACCCCTCTGGTCTGCTTCCTCTAGGTTCTGCCAACCCTTACCAGGGGCCTTGTAGCATCCGCCGCGCTTGTTTGTGAAATTGCCTTGTTTTTGTGGTACCTACGTGGTAGTGCAGAAGCATACGCTCTGCTCAGGTAGATGGTGCTTTTACATGGAGAACTGGACGAGGCTCGGATGGGAAATGGGGGCTGGAAGTTTGCCAGGAACACGGAGACTGGATGCCTGTCGGCCTGAATTGGCAGTACTAGATCTGTGGGTGCCTCCTGCTCCTAAATGATTTACCAGAGCCCGCTTTCAGCAACCTGTTGTAGCTGAACATTAAGCTCTGCCCATCTAAGGTGTCCAAAAGACCTGTACAGACCTTAAACTTTGGTGCTGACAAATGAA